GCGCAGCACCGGTCTTTTTTAAGTGAATAAAATAAGATTTAAGTGCACCGAGCCAAGTTACGATTCCTTTTATACTTTACATAATTCCGGACAAAAATTGCCGTACGACATTATTTTGTGGGATGAGAGACCGCTCGGAATGGCACAATAATATTTTCTAATCAGACCGTTGATTTTACGTATCTCACAAATACTTGGATACACAAGAGAAAAAGATTGTAGTGAAAATTCATCTTAAGGTTCATTAAATTAAACGTTCATAAAACAAAAAATTAAAAAATACAAATTTGTAACAAATAGGCAGCTACTATAGAAAATATTATATCTCATTTGCTAGATTATAATTTTATACAAAATCACTGCTGATTAGCTTGATACAATTCATTATGCGTCACCTGGTGTGTTATATTATCTCTATAATAAGAAACGTGAATAATTCTTGTCGCTCGTAGTTCGTCGATTTACGGTCGTGCCGGCTGGAATCATGTGTGCCGTACATAAGGAGCACGACACAGAAAGATGAGCAGTTCATTAAACGACGCAGAATAAAGATAACAATAAAATAACAGTACGTTCGGGTCAGATACTACAAATAAAGAACAACGACAATAAGCCTAACAACATGTTACCCAACCTGTGCTAAGACGCTATCAACGTGACAAATAATTCTTGCCATTACTGCTGTAAGCCGGCGAGCTACGACCGGCAAGTATCATACGCGTGGAACGCGACGATGGAAGTTGAGCGCACAGCTGAGCCCATGACGTCAAACGGTCGTGCTTAACAGAGATAGCCCGTCCGTCAGGAAATTCGTCGAGGACACAGGATGACAACTGTCTTTCCGCTTATAGTAAAGCTAGTCTCTTTAACGCACTCAATGTCAATATAACCGACTGGTCCCATCGACACTGACAAAGAAACCCAATGCTCAGGGCCAATGGGACTGATCAGTACTATGTTTTTCTTACTCTACTGATTTAATATGTTAATACTTGAATTATATTTTCTATTTTATTATATTAAGTCTTTGCAGACATATATCACTAAACAGGTGATTAATGAATAGTAAAATAGCAAAGTAGATGAATAGGAAAATTTAATTATTCGAGTAATGAGAGATTGATATATGATTGTTCTCTAACATTTAAGTTCAGAAGAATAGCAGTCTAAAAAATTTTGAATCATTAAGAATTAAAAGTCCTATCAATGTTTTTCTACATTTAGTCGGTACTGTATTATTTTATACATGAAATGGTATCTCTAAAAAGTTACCGGTCATTAAGAACTAATACTCAATAGTACCTATGCAACGAAAAAAACTTTGGGGCCCGGTATGCATCCAAATAAATAATTCGGCAACGTATTTGTTAACCAATAATCACGGATACTCGGGTAAACCAGGTATCCAGTGAGTAACAGCTCCAGTTTACAGTGTGTCGCGGCGAATTCGGTGCGAACGGAGCGAAACGGGGTTAAACAGAGGCGACCAGAATCAAGGAACACCTGGAACACGCGTGGTCCCGTGCAGAGAAATTACACGAAACGTCCCCAGCCCGTTTCCAACCCGACGCCACTTAATTCGCGGTGAGCGGCTAATCTACCCTACGATTTCCGGAAACGAGTTCGACGCGCGGCAGCTTCCGCAAAGAAATAGCCCTCGTTATAATAATATCCCTATTACACTTTTTTCGCGAAAAACGCGAGGAATAAAATTCCAGCATAATCTCTGGAGCGAGATTCTGGTTTATGATGACACTGTTGGGAGCTAAAAATGTGATACCCTAAACTTTAACGCCAATGATTTGCTGTGTCATTTGTTCAAACAAATCCAGCGGCTTAATATTAAAAAATTTCATATAAAGAATACTGTATGTAACAAATTCAAGGAAATTGGAAAACAGTTTTAATACAGCTTTGAAACGAACCTCTTGGTTCATGAGCCTGCAGAGAACTACAACTATGATACCCTAAAACTTACCACCAATAGTTCATCTATCCTCCGTTAAAGAATAAAAATCACAAAAATCCAGCAATTTAATGTAAAAAAAATCCTATATAGTAAACTTGAATGAATTCAATGTTTGTAGAAATCAAATAACGTCATTGTCTTCAAGTGTTCCAGGCCCGAAGAAGAGGGCAAGAGGCGAGAATACATAAAGGCGAAGAGAAGAAAAGACGACACCGCTCGCGGACGTAAACGATAGGCACAAAAGCGAGGCAGCTGGCTCTCGATGACGTCACTACCTGTCTTGCAGCCTCTCTGCCAACACCCGGGGGTATGGGTCAGTCTTGACCGGAATATGTGAGCTTCGGACCAACTATTCCAAGAGAGGCGGCGACGGAACTTCATTTGCAAACGCGCCGGGCACGCTACCACGCGGGGAGACGCTATGCGCGACGGGGGCCGACAAGTTTCTGGAAGTATTTAACAGGCAAGCGAGAGGAAAACGTCTTAATACCTCTGCCCGTAGGTATACCTCCCGGAAATGCGAGAGAACGGAAGTAGAGGGGCACTTCTGTTGGCAAATTTGTTAAGTTTAATTGTAGGGGCTCGAGCTTGCCGAAAAGTTTCCGGTTCGATTAAATGAAACGCGAGAATGTTGAGATACTGACGACGCAGCAGAGTAACGTACTATTTCAAAAATACTTAAGTAGAGGGAGATTGTCGATATGGATATAATGGGATATTGTAAATGTTAATATCAATGTCACTATTAATATCAATGTATTGAACCATAATTGATGATTGTCATCGATAATAAGCTCTTGATATAAAAGTCACAATGAAAATGTGTACACGCTTAAGTATCCTCAATCGATACGACTAATTGACAGGTAAAAGAATGTGTTTCTAAAAATCAATCACGATCTCAAACGCATCGAAGCATGCGTAATTGAATATCAGTATGCTAACTATAAGCATTAGATGTCAAAGATGCCATACTTGAATCCTTCCTCAACGATAAATTATGCATACGGCAATAAACGTTGCACTCTAGCACTCACGGCTAATCCGTAAAATTAATATTTACATAAAACCTAAAGAAGTGATTTACTGAACGCCTAATGCACCGATAATAATCGATAGCTGCTACCGGCGATCAATCCAGTCGTGTCCAACTGCGTGCCATTACAGCAACACACGGAACACCGTATCTCACACAATGTTGCATTGTAAACCGCCGTTAACGGCGACTTCGGTCCACGAAGAAAGAGTGGCGTAGGTCAGTGTCAATCTTATCGAAAGAATAATGTTTCACGACCATATAAACGCGTTTACAATTTGCTATCCAGGGCCCGATAACGGACACCGTTGTGCAATGAGTGCTACGTCACCGTGAACGAACGGAAAAAACATTGAAAGCGGCGGGGAATGTTAATTAAAATGTTTTACGATTCAGATCGTTCGACGGCCGAAGGGAGGGGGTTAATGGGGATTCTCGATGCCCGATACACCTCGGACGTTTTTATCTGTAACGAGTATCCACCGGTAATCCGAGCCCTCGGGGTTCAAGAATAATTCGAAACGCGTCGAATTGAAACGGGGGAAACGACTGTTCCACTGTACAACGAACGGTTAATTAGTCGCCGATAACTTCACATTACAGTCGCGAGTCCAATACGTCGCTCGCGCGCAACGACTGTTTCCAATGAGCACCTACTCTGGTAGGACATTATTTTCTTTCCTCTTGCTAGTTCAGCTAGTCATTGACAAAAGTAAACATTATAGACGCATAAACAGATTTACACAACTATTTCCAACCATCACCGTTAACGGAAAAGAATTTTGTTGAAAATATTTTTAACATACGACAGTTGAAAAAAAGAGAAGATAATGGCGGACGCTTTTGTCAGTTACAAAAGCGTCAAATGTTGGAAACGTCGGGTTAGGCCGCAGGAGTTGTTAAAGTCTCCATCGCGCGAGGTAAACTTTCAAGAAATTTTCGAAAGTTTAATGGAGGAACTCGGTGGGAAACATGGAAGCCGTTTTGCGACCGACATTGAATAGAGTGTTATGTGAATAGAGCATCTGGTCGGTGGAGAGTGAACGCAGCGGCGATTTCTACACCCTCATTTCGAAAGCCGACACGTCGATTCCCTTCCCAGAAATGTTCCGCGGCACGCAAGACGATCATGTGTCCGCCACTCGATGCGATCGCAAGAAGACTTCCAACAAAATTATGAGAACGTACAATTTACCTCTCTCTCTCCGCGGGACGTCGCGCGATTCATCAAACAACAGCCACGTGAGAAAGCTGCTGGGCTCCGCTTACACCGGAAACGAAGTGAAAAAGTGGCCGGCGTACAGAGACGCATCAACTCGATCGAGGAATCGCGACCAGTCGATATAACCTCGATGACACAATCGGCCGAGAAGGCAGTGAACTTCCGACGGACTATTTCGAGCCAGGGAACGCGGCGAGTGAGGGAGGGGGAAAGAAGAAGGAGCGAGTCAAAGCAAAAACCAGTTCACCGCGTAGGGCTCTCTCTATACACCGTGACTTACGTGAAACGATACGTCACACAGTGCGTTGATTTATGACTGGTGTGAAAGACCAAAACTCAAATTCGATTTCTTACAAATTTATTTACTCCCACAATGCTGGACAATATCAAGTAAAACTTAATATCGAAACAGATTCATAATTAGGGTAATACAAAGAATCATAGGCAAAAATTATTTATTATTTAATTTTCGTCTGATCCGTGCGTCACTGTGAAGAGCAATAGCAGTGACGCGCGTTCGCGGATGCGTCCGCGAGAGAGCGCGTACCCCGCCGCCTTCGATCATTACTCGCGCGCGTTTAAGGACCTAAATTTCATCGACTTACAGCATCAACCGGTGACCACTGCCGTTCTCGATCGATACACGCCGATATCTCGCTCGCTCTCCCTCTCGTTCGTCTCACTGTGCACACTGACCACGGCCGCCTGCCTGCCTGGTGGTTCCCTTTGTCTTCCCGCTTATCGTCCCGGCAAACTCACCACGAGCACCAAAACAAGAACTGAACAAACGGAGGCAACGCCGAAAACCACGGGTAACGTAAAAAAAAACTGTCCTCTGTTGTCACGGGGCAGGAATACGTTGGCGGGTTACCGGACGTGGGCAGCGATGCTGGGCTAGAGGGGCCGGGAACGGGGAAATCCGCGCAGAAGGAAAACAAGGAAAAACCGTTGAACACAAACACACGCGGGTCCGACCAATTCCGGCACAGCTGGTGGGATGTGCGCGCGGTTATATACGCGTTCTCTCTCCGTGCGTCGACCACTCGAAACTCGCTGCCGCTGCTGACTGCTGTTGCTGCTTCAAGGGCAAGGCTAGCCCTCGCCGTCGATCGAATGCGGCATAATTTCGCGTTCGCGGACCGAGTACGCTGACGAGACGCTTGTTTCGGCGAGGCTAACTAACACGACCGGATCCGCGGATACGAGTTTCACGCGTGGAATAAACGAACCCAGCGGATCAGTGGCTTTTGTTCCGCGACCGACGACGGGAGAGGGGGGACAAGCACTCGGATCGTCACGAACCGACTCCCTCGATGGACGCGACGATACTGAGGCGCCGGCGTGTTTATTCCCCCCACCACCGGCTACCCCGTCGCGTTCTCCCCACCACCGATCGCTCGCTCCTTCCGTCTCCTGCTAACCATGCCGGATTCTACCCCCACTACACGTCTTTCTTCGTCGTCCCTCACTCGGACTCCCCGCTGTTGGAACCTCTCCTGCTTTATTCCAGGGACTTCGATAACCTTCCAGCTGGTCTCCGTTTTTCTCTCGGTTTTCGATGAAATTTTGAGGGATGAGCGTTGACCTTAACCCCTTGTGCCCTGATTTCGTGATTATTTTAATTGTTTTTTAATCCATTTAGATTACTGTCGTATGTATAGGTTATTGAACTAATTTGTCAGTGAATTATTAATCAGTATGCTATTATTATGGTTTTATATTATAATCTGTGCACTTACCAGTCTATTACTATTATTTGGTAATAATGAAATATTTGTAATTCTGTGGCATGATGCACATGGATTAATAATCTTTGTGTCTTTGTTGCATAACTTAAGATGCTAAGAATAATACATATATTAAATTTGTTTCATGATTTTTATAGTATAAACCTGTGTAATGATTTGGATTCTGTTATATTACATTTGGAAAAGTATCTAAGTTTGTTTGGCTCGTGGCAGTGTTTTAATGAAAGTGGCACTTCAAAGTACTTCCAGGACATAAAGGGTTAAAGGATCTCTCCACTTTACGGGGTTGGAACAAATTGGGCACTCCGGTACTCGTGTTTTGCGCGGCTTTTAGGTGAAGGAGGATTATATTGCGCGGAATGGAGTTTGCCATTATTCCATTAATTTTACAGTCGATCATATCGTTGCATTGTGTGCGTTGATCGAGCGATTAACAGTCGGACAGATGAATATATACTGTTGCGTACGATAGCGAAGACGTGTGCGACATTCGATATGATTTAATCAGGATCATTACCGTTCCAAATGTACCTACATCATTAACAGACTCGTAATCTGTAATAACTCTGCGCAAAAATCGTATATGGGCGGATAATCCAATATGGTATAGGATTCCTTTTCAAAGAAGTACAAAGGAGATGGAAGTATAAAGCTACTGTAACAAAGATAGCAAATATTCTTCAACGAAAGGGGAAGATAGAAACAAGTAGTCATAACTTTAAAATTAAAAGTTCAAAATAAAACTGATGAGATGTTCATAGCTCTCCAAAAATCTTTTAAACAAATGATCATTCGACGATTAACTTTATTCTCAATAATATCAAAAATTACATTATCCAAAGTAATATTGATACAGCATTCAACAATGTTGCTCAAAACATATTACAATAATCGTCTCAAAAACCATAAAAATCATCACAACTTAACTACAGAAGCAATCTCGTCACATCTACAATCCCCCCGAAAGAATATTAAAGAAAACACCAGTCTCTAACATAAAAACTTTAATCAGCATCGAACCTACAAGTTACCAAAAAACTCATCCACAAACTCAACCCCAAAAACATTGATCAAAACGCGAGAAAAACACGTTCAAACACTGAAGCTCCAGCCTTCAGTGCACCAATTCTTAACTTAACAACAAAAAACTCCAAAAAATTTCACGAAAATCGAAGACGAACCAGTCTCCGCGTCAGCTGTCGTACGGGTGTTCCGCTTCAAACTCTCCCCTTCTAGCTCTCACTCCCGCTTTCCCTCCTTCTCGCCCGCATCCCTGACTCGCTGGCTTCGTCCTTGTCCCCAAGACTTCCCCTTCCACCCCCGACGCTAACCCCGTGTATACGTTGGACCGTTCCATTCTTCCCCGGGTGAATTAGAAGCGTAAACTAGGTCGTTACGTCCGCGAACGTCACCCCGTATTTTGGTTACTTGCTCCCGGATCTTTTCTTCCATCCCTCGAGGCGGGGATCAAAAAATTCCTGAGAACACCGGACGCGGATATTCGGCTAGGGGTTTAGCTACCGGGGACTTCGCTTAACAATGGGAATCGTCGGTCAGCGAAAACCTGACTGCGGATTAGCCAGGGAGATCTCTGTCGAGGGGGTGAGACCGCGAGCAAGGATTCAACCCTCGGCGGGAACGACGTGCGCGGTCTCCCCGGGATCGATGCAAATGTGGGCTACGGAAAAAGAGCTGCAAGGCTGGTATGTGTGTTGCTGGAACAGTGACGCTGGACACCGCTCGCCGGATTATTTTCGCTTTTTTCGCATGGGTGTTATCTCTTAGCTCCTGAACTTGGAAGTATTACCAGTAACATGGAAGTGAATAACTTTAGATCTACAGTAATAATGAGAGTTCCTTAGTATGCCAGTTCTCTTATTTTTAGTTTGAAATATGAAAGAAGTTTGGAGTGGGTCATTCTGATTCATTTGATGGTTCTAGTGTTAAGTGTTAGACTATGTCACCCCGTATTTTGGTTACTATCTCCCGAATCTTTTCTTCCATCCTTCGAGGTGGGGATCAAAAAATTCTCCTTGCTCGCGGTCTCACCCCCTCGACAGAGATCTCCCTGGCTAATCCGCAGTCAGGCTTTCGCTGACCGACGATTATTTAGAAGCAAAAAACGAACACGACCACGATACATATTTATCATCTTTTAACAAGGAATTAAGAAAGCTAGCGTTGCTATCCTCTATCCTCTTTCGAGGCACAGCAGTATCTAGCATACTCCAGTGGTGAGGTGGGCAGTCCTGAGCGCAACAACAGGGAAGAAAAAAATAATATTGTGTAATTATCGGGACGTGGTGGCCGCATTTCTTCCTTTTTCAGTAACCGTTCAAGATTTGACCTTTTCTTCTTCGCCGACGACAGAATCGTTTATTACGGTATTCATTTATTAAGACCACCTGGGACGCGTGGTGTAATTATGCGGCCCGGTCGGGTGAAACCAGTTCGACAGTGCGCCACAGCGATAACTAAAAGCCACAGCGCGGCTCGCACGGGACGCCGCGTTCCGAATTTTTCCGGGTTTTTTCGCCTCGTCCGACATCATGGCGCTCAGCTCGACCCCCTAGCGAACGTTGCTGCAGCAGTTAAGTTCCAGTGATGAATACTGATAATCCGTTTAACTGGGGAATCCGTTGGAGACAAATTTCTCGCAGAAAGTGAACGTAGACAAGCTGATTTTTCTTCGGTTGTACCCCTGCACGCTGCTGCTATTAACGAGTATAATTGGAAGGTATTGAGGCTAAATCTTGCAGGTTAATTAAGAACATGTATCTAGAAGAATATTCTGTCTTTTGTACGAAGTTGCAAGTCTTGAAATCTTCTATTAAGATTATAAGCAAGAGAAATCTATCTTTAATTTTATAGATTCGATGACCTCTAGAAGTCTTCAAATTTCTTGGGTCCACAGCTTTGTTAACCTCTTCCCATATTTCGTTTATGACTAGACTACTAACTAATTTTACTATTAATATTTTGCAATAAATGTGTAAAAACGCTTCATTTATTGTAATTGCATATTAACTTTGTAGGTGAAATATAGAAATTAGCAAAGTAGTCGTCCGCTGCGATCCACGTGCAGTGTTGAACATTGATTTTGTTAAAATGGATATTTTTATCGCGAGTCTTTAAAGTTAATTGACCTCTAAAACTTATGTTTTTCCACTTAAGACATTAACCCTTAAATTATTATTCCTAGTGTACCAGTTTCTTAAGAATGACTCCAGCAACACTGCCAACGTAAAACTGTGCCATTTTTCTCATCGTTAACACTCGGAAACGTTAAAATAGTAAAAATTGCAGGCCAGTTGGTGAGTCTCAAATCTCTCAGTGAGGAGAAATTCGAAGCATCGCAGGATGCCATGTACAGTGCATAATCTTCCGTAAAAGCAGTTCTCGCGGCGGTCGGAACGGCTCTGGTTACGTGGTGCCGGGCTTTGTGCAGCGTTCTCCGAACGTTCACGGCCCGGTCACGCCTAGGAGCATTGAATAATGCCCGAACGAACCGTGACTATGCCGTGACTGAATCGCTAATGTAATTCAAGCCCCGGGCGACCGTTGTACTTTCGATTTTCGCAGTAGATAACTTTATCCATTATCTATGAGCATCGTAAGCTCGGCTGAACCGTGAAAGCTCTAATCACGATGACTCTATAATCGACGGTAATTCTATAGCGGATAACAATGCTTTACAGATAGTTGCTAAAAAAAAAGAAAGATAGGTAGAACAAATTTTCCTTTCATAATATCACGCTGCGTCGAATAAAGTTGATTCTTTATTTGGCTCTAGCCTGACTAACATACCCCCTTTGTACTCGAATTTTTAATTTTATTAGTACAATCTAATTCTAGCCATTTTAAATGCCAGATGAAATGGTCAACTGTATCTAATTGATCAAAATTTTGTAATATATAATAATATGTATTAATATTTATATTTAAATTTATATTATAGTTATAATTATATGTTTATGTTATATTACATAAATTTTCTTATACCTATACTTGCTTCTGACGTGCAGAAAATTTACCTCGCGTACGAGACTTTAAAATTACCCGTTACTATTTTTACCAATATGTTTATTAGCATACTCTAACTTCTCCCTGAATTTCGCTCTTATCGTTCCGCATTACTATTCAAACTTGCTCCTGGTCGTTCCGAAGCCTTTTATCGTCCGTCGACAATAGTAATAACGATCGTATCGGGTGGCCACCTTGACAAATGATCATTAGTCACCGGTCTCTATTTTCTGCCGCATTGAGTATCACCTGAACAGATGACTGCGCAGAGTAGAATCGAGACGATGACAGCATCCAAGCAATTCCCTTCGTTGCCCACGACGAATGCTTGAAAAACAATACGATCGAGCCTCGATACGTCGAATCACAAGGGGAGATGTAAGATCAAATCGTAGAGGTTTTGTCTTAATCGAGTTTTCGAGTAAAAAAGTTAACAAACGAAAATTTTATTTATAGAAGTTTTATAAATTAATTAGTTTTAAATTAATTCCACTAACAGAAGTATTTTAACTTAATTAAAATTAATCTTAAATTAATTCGATTAATTGAAGTTTTTT